TTTTACTTGTAAAAATAATGATTGTTAAGTATAGAAATCCTGTGCGTAGCTATTTTTATAAACCTTTTTATCTTAATATGTTATAAATTCATACTTTAAAAGATCAACTGCGCATGGACCGATGTTTGTTATCAAAGACGGACAGAGCAGTGTCACGTAGGACAAAAACTTTTCCATACCACTTCTAAGGAACGTAGAACATATCGGTCATGGTGTTTTCACGTGTATCCAGAATATTGTCGATTACATTGAGATAAAAAGGTGTTTGCTCAGCATTTAAAAGTGTTGTAACACCATCGACACGTGGGGAGCGTTAGTTGCGAGCGTAGTAGCGCGTATAATGGCTGGGCGAGATTTTGTAGAATTTCTTCTGGCTTAGATTCGCTGGAACGGTGCCACGCATTAATTGGTAATTGTTTCGAGGGTCGACCGCGATACGATAAACGAATAACAGTGATAAACGTATCGCCCGATCTTTAGTTACCTTGACTGACACATCATTAAATGCCACACGCACTTTTTTTTGCCTTTTTTCTAGACGATCCTGATCTCTCATCTAGTCGCCGAGCACGCCAGACGCAGCATTGCAGTGGCATTACAGATCATTATGTAATGTCATAATGTTATGTGAACGTTTTACATTCGATGCCTTGCACCACTGCGGTCTCAAGGTCTTTACATTGTTGTTTATACAACGAGTTAACACGTCGATGCGATCCAGGGACGTATTTGCTGGTGAAAATTCTACCGGCGCCTCTTCTCTCATCAGTGCTTGTTAGAACTAATTCGTATATCATGAATATTTACAATAAATTCTTACTATATATTTCACTGTGATTCATGATCAAACTCCGCTTAACATTTCCTTGTAGAAATATCAATTTAACGATGAGGAAATTGTGGACCTCGCTGAAAAAAAAAAAAAAAATCGAATTATTGCTTGAAAACATTGGCTGAGATGGCTTAGGTTAGTTATCGCTGTTGCAAAGTATAGCAAAAAATAGCCCTTACAAACTCTTAAAGTTTCTGCAAAGGTAGAACCTTGAAGGAAAATTCTTTGACCCGATCTTCCTTGACCATTCCCTAAACTCTTTCCTTCGCTCGAGTTCGTCGCAACTGGTCCCAGGCACATAAAGGCATCAATAAAGTATGGAAAGCGGGAGATGCCGTCTAGCAATAATTTCCTCGAGGTTGAAACTTTCCGTCTTCGTAAGCAGGAAACGTCATAAACGTTAATTACACGAGCAGGTATAAATAAGGGTTAATGACGGATCAGCCGTTTCTAGAATACGCTGTCTCACCGCTACGGTGTGGACTTACCCCGTTCACAAAGGAATTTTCTCAGCACCGAATTCCGCTCTTGAAAGCATTTCTCATTGTCATTTGCATCTCTGTAAATTATTTGCAAGCGTTTCGCTAGACCTCTGCCGACAGATCTTATCGATCCTTGAAACACCGACGCCGAGAGAGCTTAATTATTCGATTCTTTTCCCGTTCCATGATTTGCGAGCAATAATATATTATCACTGAATCTTCTGTTTGCATTGTCGACTCTGAATAAGAAATGATCGTAATTAGAACTACGAATGGTAGACGATCTACAAACCACACCTATCGAACGTTTCTTCAAACTAACCTATTTGTTACACCTAATGACAGGAAAAATGAAGAGATTTGGATTAAATTTTGAGGTTAAACTGAATTTTGTTCATGGTTAATTACCTACTACATATTAATATCTTCCTTTCTCATTGTATTTTGCTCCTTGTTTTCAACGATGATAAGTATTTACATTCGTCTTCGAAGCTTCTAATCATTATCGACAAACAATTCGATAGAAAACGAAAATAATCGTAAATCGATTCGGAATATAAGAATATATTTTGATACATTTCACAACATAGTGCATCGAAATGGTGTCAACAGGTACAACTTTATGGAATTAACTAAATATCTCGTTAACTCGATTATTATACGGTTATGTAACATTTCATCGCGTTCGACTTTTTCTCCCAGTGGCTGTCTAAGAAACGACGTATCCAGCGAATACGATTTTTACTCGATTGGTAATAGAAGAACTATATCCTCCTTCCTGTGTATACCATAAATACCAGAGACTGATTGGCACAGAGCGTCGACGTTGTTCCGTCGGTATTTTAATAAACTGTCGTATTCGCGGGATCGGCGGAGCAGTGCCGAGCAGAATCTCGTATATGTTCGACTCTTTTCGTGGCGTATTGCTCGTGTTGCTGGCCGACTCGTGGAAAGGAAGCAAAAGAAGGGAGCGAAAAAGGAAACGAGAGCCTCGCTTCAGGATGCTTTCATTCACGTGGCGGCAGCCTTTACAATCCTTCGCTTCCGCGCGTGGGAAGGGCTTTATCGTGTGTGCAGCTGGGTGAGGGTAAAAACTAAAGAACGACGAGAAGGAAAGGGGCACGACATTGAAATACATTAGTAAGAGAAGGGTGGAAGAAAGTGAAAATATAACGAAATAGTAGGTAAATGGGAAATAAAATAGGTTGGCCGAAATTGCACCACTCGGTAAGAAAGAGACGTGCACGCGACACGTATGTACGAATGTAGATAATGAAAAGGTAGAAAGAAAGAAAGCCGTATCGACTCGAAAGAAAAGAACGTCAAGGAACAAAAGGGGGGAGGGGGTGAGACCATAGGAGTGTCGGTGAGGGAAGAAGGAAAAAGAAAGAGGCTAGAGGAAGGAAATATATAGAAGTAAGAACGAGAGAGTCGAATACGGTATAATGGAGGAGAGTGAGAAAGGAAAACTGGTGGACGGAAACGCGGAGAGGCAGGAGGCAGAGGAAAATACGATAGAGGCAAAGTCGTATGCGTACATTCTGATAAGGTCTTATCGTGTGAAAGCACCGTGGCCTACTTATACTTGGTGCGTGGTTATACGCGTCTCTAACGTTTACGTGATCGCACGCACACGCGCGCATCTCATCGTTCGCTACGCACGCAGCGGTACACACTTACGCACGCGTGCTGTCGTGCTACTGCAATCACGCGTGAGTTTATGCAAGCTACGAGCACGCGTGAACGAGCGTGTCGTTGCGAGTAAAGCCTATCTATACAACGATGAAAATAAAGTTCCCTTTCTATTTACCATCCTTTCTATTTTACAACTTATTTTTCTTACACTTTATTTATACACTTTAAATTCGTATTCCTTCTAGATGCAATCCTTCGACCATTGTCAGTCAGTAAGAACTAAATATGCAACAAGGAAAAGGAATCATATCAAAAATTCACAGGAGAGCCGTGTAGCGGGAAACGACGCAAACGTTTAACCTTTTGCACTGACTGTGGGGGCGCCGCTAGCGTGACAATGCTACTTTTCTTTAAAATTCGGGAGTCTCCGCTGACGTGATGTGTAAAACAAATTAGGAGGAAACATTTTTATTTAAGACGCTACTTTTAAAATACATGCGTGTATACGTGTATATGCTGCGAGTCCTGTGCTTTTCAATTTCCAACACTGGAATAAATCTAGCATTCTTTATGAAATTTTTTTAAATATGTTTTCACTCTATTTCAGAATGACATACTAATGACTAAGTATAATCTAAACTTTTCTAAGAATTTGACCATCGTAACGTGAGATATCGTGAATGTGTGGGCAAACATGATTACTTAGATATTGAAAAGTAAGAGGTAGGATATGAATAACGACGCATTTTCATGAAATCACTTTTACATGTACCGAATTGTTTAGAATAGTTTTGTACTTTAAATATTACAAATATAATAAATCATAATTTATTATTTATTATAAGTAATAATGGCAATTACTATAAATTTCAGGTATAAGTATCATTAAATTATAGTTACATGATTATAATTGAAATAGAACTATAATTTCATTCATAACTGAGATAAGGTATCAAAACTAGGAAAAATGAAATCCACGTTACAAAGCAATTAAAGAATTATGGTATAAGGGATTAAAAGCGTGTAACGTATTCGGGTAGGAGTACGGCATGCATAATGTAACGCGTTCAAACTTTAAATATTCCATGTTAACAGGAATTGCGGTGTAGAAATAAAATCTCCGCGAATTACGGAAACGATTAGGAAACGTAACAATTGCTTCCTCTCTCGGACCAATTATCGTCATGGTAAAATAGATAAAAAAAGATCTTTCTCGTTGGTTAGACTCGAGTGGCGATTCGTCGCTAACCGATGAACTCGGTCGATGGGCGAAAGCAGCGCCGAAAGAGGAACAATAAAGTGGAGATTCGATAGCTCCTCGTGGCCGAGTCGCAGCCGCGTGTATACACATGTGAGCCCGTACGTACATACGGCAAATTGCGAAATTGGGTCGGCCAGAAATTGAAGCTGATCCGACTGTTCTTCGCGGCGATGAGGGCAACTGCAAAGGCGACACGTGAAATTTTACCGATAACGCACGAGTATCGTCCTTCGATCAAGCTGAATTGAAAATCGTCCTCCCGAACAACTAACCACAGTGTTGTAAGCCTCTTTATCTATTAACTGTCAAACTGTTTCACGAGATATTTCATTCTTCTCGCGTTGATCGGTTACGTACGTGTTACTAACGCTTTTGAGGTTATGCGTCTTCGTAATGCACGAAGGCATTTGGACTGCGATTACGAATTCTAAATGTAAATCGAATCTCGAGCCGAAGTAATGACAACATAGATTAGATTAGACGTCATTAAAGTTGATCTTGGTCAATTTTGCTTCAAAAGCGTTACTTTGAATATCATGAACGGTTTTATGCTTTTTAACGTATAAAGTTACGAAAGTCGCATTTGATGTCATCGCTGTAAACACGATACCATGTCGCTGACTAAACGTTAAATAATAAACTAAACACAAATGTGAAATGTTGGTAAATCTTAGAAATAAAAAGCGCCTGTTTATAGTTAAGTAAACGAGTTTTTATCTTAATAGTATGATTGTAATTAGTCTGAATCATTTTTATACACGAATACTCTTTTTTTACAGAAAAAAATCTGCATTCTTATCTTGAGGAACGCATAATAATTGCTAACGGCTTGCCTGGCTCGCATTACGAGCATAATAAAACTTAACAGTGAGTAAGAGCATCGTGCTAAAATTCGTGAATGCATTTAACGCCTGCTATTTATGTCCGCGATGCTAACGCAGATTATGCAATATTATAGATGACATGCTGACTGGGAACGTGGTGGCAGTGGAATTCGCATTTCAATTATTCCCTAGGCTCGAATCTAGAAATTTATCGATCTAATTTTACGAGTACCCGCTGTTGCGTTTGACTAATTATCAAGTGATCAGAGCTGGATGCTACATTACCATTTAATGATACAGAAATTGATTACTCGTTTGCATCCAACTGCACTGACTTCATCGTTGTGAAACGTTCATTGTCAAATGACGCTCGATCGATTGTCACGCAACGTATATAAAATGTAAACATTCTTCGCTCGCCCGGTAAGCTTCTCTCGAAGGTAAATTTTCTACTTCACTCGTAACCTGTTATCTATTTATGATTGTATCTCTTTTCGTAGATATTATTCGAACGTGAAAATATTTTATGGATGGGATAGGCACGCTCAAGTATGTCAATAGAATTGAAGATTAATTAACAACAAAAATATATTTTTTATTTCGTTTTTGAACTACCGATCTGTATTATGTACTTAAAGTTAGCATATCTATATAGATAGTAGTAAACGTGGTATTCATAGATAAAGTAGTATAATCAGAATAAGCGTAAACGTAAATTACACGTAATTATAGAATAAATAAGTATACGCAATTATGTTTCTACCTGAATAAATGTCAACATTAATTTTAGCCGAGATACTTGTAAATTTTCAATGATTGTAAAATGTATGTGAACTAATATTAGTATGTGATATTTAAATAATTGAAAATATCGTTTATAAATATTGTAACGGTAAATACTGTGACGATCGATTCTTCGATTCTGGATTACACGTTCTTTTATTGTCTATTGAATAATCATCTCTCCAATCGATACACTGTAATTACGTAATTGTGAAACGCAATTGGTTTTACTAGCATTGCTCACGGCTTTTCCGTCTCTATAGACCACAAGAGTGCAAAAACTGACGTTTGATGGGAGGGTTAAAGCTCATTGGAAGAATCAGCGCGCGACAAAGTTGTAACCTTGGGCAAGTAGATAGGAGAAGCATAGATACCAAAGAACCATCTAAGACAGAAATGCCGTAAAATGTAACCTCGGCCAACTTAGACATGGCCATAAACGACGCCGTGGTAACCGTTGGTACGCTAAAGAGGTGAGAAAAGACGAAGAATAAGTGATAGAGAGTAAAAAGGGGACCTACCGTTCATCTTGTACACGCTTGAAGAAATTTCACACTAGACTTACAGAGTTTCTCTCAGAAATCACTTCAGTATTTAATCCAATTCAACATCTTCAATAATCAAACTCAAAATTTCTTTTACTTTATGCCTAATCTTTGACATTTTTCAGTGAATCTGCATCTAACTGTAAATAACACACACTTGTTACAGTCATCAACATGCAAATTACTGAAATGTGCGCCTATTTTAATCTAGTTCAGGAACTTTCTAATTACTTTTCCCATTAAGATAATTTCACAAATGTGAATTAAAAGTTTGTTATTAATAGAAGAAAGTTATTCAAAGAGAGGAATGCAAAGCTGCTGAATTAGTTCAAACTTGTGCCAAAGAAATAACATAAGTTTATAATGTATTTTCTAGTAAACTAATTTCATTTATTTTTCTATGTTACAGAACAAAGTGCAAAGATAAGCTGTTGCAATTGAAGAAATGAGAAGGTTAGAGATGTTTGCAACAAAGTGCACAGTCGAGGATAGTAGTGTCCGTTTAGAAACTAGGAAAACTGCAAGCGACCCCTTTTTTTCCATAGATCTGTCGAAAGAGTGACCAAAAAGGACCACGGCCATGGCATTACGAGGCGTTTACGAGGGCATTTACGAGCGACCGGCTGGAAATTATTCGGCCCGTTACCGGTCACAATAGCGAGATTATGAGAGTTTTTATATCCTGCAACCCTCTCTCTTGCCTCTTCTCCATCCTCTTTCTTCTTTCCTTTCGTTCTTTCTCCATTTTTTTTGTTTTTATTGTTACCACTGTCAAAGAGGTTTAAGGAAGTTGCCTGAGTTTTTGTGCAGTTACCTCAGAACGGGCTTTTTTTTCCAGAGGAAACCGCCATGTTATCCAAGACGATTTTCACTCGTTCTCGCTTCTAGGATCTTTTCTTCGCAGAGTTTTTCATAGGGATTTTTTGCCCCATGGTCGTCAGTCAAGACAAGGAACTGCGTTTCTCTTATCCTTGAGTCGCAAAGGGGATTAGAAATTGGCCTTCGACGCGCACGTATTAAGTGTCTAAGGGCACCGTCGGCACCGACACGGAAAAAGGGAGAAACGATTTTATTGCGCTATGAGCTCTCGTTCGTGAGAAACTGTGTCAGTGAAATCGGGCTTTCGGCAATTTTGCATCGGATTCCTTGAGAAACCTACGACGCATCGGCGTTGCATCTGTTTGGCTACTAGCGCGGTGCCGAATACATAACCTCTCATTTTGACGTACACACGTGCATCCAGGCTGTGGGTGGGTATGATTTTTCCAACCATTTCCTTGACCGAATGTATCGTAATTTATTTCTATCACACCTAGGCTTCGCTGTGTACTAATGCTGTAAATTTTGCGTACGGTCAGGTTTTGTTAAAATAGCCGTCCCGAGAGATGCAAATCTATTTAGGCTGCCTCACCTCGACTAGAGAAATGGGAGCAAGGTCCGGAAAGTTAGGAAGAGGCTGCTAAGGTGCAATAGGTGGCTCGAAGCCAACTGCTTGGTCAAGTGACTAAGTTATAGGAAAATAGATCAACTCGAGAAATAGCACGACATAACCCTTTTATTCGAATGCACAATCTGAATTTGAATCTTTAACAAAGCTCGAGCTTTTCGCCAAGTTCGATCATTTTCTATGAAATTCATTACGCGCCTGAAATTTTTCTGTTACGAAAGTTCATCGAGAATTGCGATGATATTAGCTGCATGCCTTTAAAATAAAAGGAAATTGTATGTCATGTAAAAGGAATGTGCTTAAAAATAGAAATTGGCAAATTCGTATTTTCGTAATCATATTTCTGTGTTCTTCGTACTCCTGTGTCCAAAAATTCTGTTAAGGAGGTCAATATACCTTATGCGCGATGGAAATAATTATAAACTACTGCGTATTTGTATTTCACTATTTTTTGTTAAATGTCGTTAATATTTTTAATGTAAACAAGCGGATTACAGAATAATACTCGTATTTTTATACTACACTGTCAATATTCTCTCGAGGAGAAGAGAAGAAAACAATTTATATCTACTTTGAAATCTCGATAGACTTTATTTCCGAGTTTCATTAATAGACAGAAGATACACAAGTCATATCACCAAGAGAGATTTAAAAGCGAGATAAAATTCAATTAAAATTGATTCATGAGTCTCTAATTTGTTTGCAAAATTAACCACTTCCTACATTCGTTTTTATGTTTAGCAAATATTGACAATGTACACAATTTCAAATCACACAATTATATTCCATTCGTTTACAATTTATAATATGCTTTGATTTACATGAAGGAAATTTTTATTCGATGCAGTAATATTAATTAAGTTTAAATAAAATGAACTTCACCGAGCCATAGAAATACGGACAATACATATTATCACCATAAAAGTCCTCCTTCTCTAATTAATTTTCATAAATTAACTTCATGTAAAAACATAAACAAAGGTCGATAGTTCAGTTGAGATTTCCTTATATTTTAATTAACATTTTTTGTTAATATTTATAATAATACGGTAAAAATATAAAAATATAAAATATAATGTATACACGAGAAAGGTCTGAATCGTACATGTTTCTTATGCAAATAATAAATTTTCATAAAGTAAAATACAAAATATAAATAAAAAGTAATAAAATCATTTCTTTTCAATTTTTGACTAAGACCATTTTCATAATTACCCATACATATTATATATTAATAATTCTTATATTTTCCCTTGAAATTTTGGATCAACTCTTTTAACATTGACTATTCATTAATTATGCTCTATACAGGGTGTCCCTGAAAGTTAGATACAACTGGGCATCAGGTGGCTTTTTCATAAAAAATAATCAAAAAATTAGACCTAGTTTTTTAACTAGTAATTCAACGAATTCAACTTTGTATACAGCAACAAGAATGACAGTTTTAACAATTCTGTAATTGAAGTAATAAAATATCATTGACAAAATATTTTCTTCTTTTTTTAATATTGCATGAACATTATTTATAAACATTATAGGTGATATATGTTGTTGAATGAATCGTATCTTAGTCGTGAATGCACCTATACAAAATGAATTTCTAAACTCGATTTTCTCGAAAACCAAGCCCCATAGAAAAAGAAGTTATTGTATATTTTTTTCATATTTTTTAGTGAGAAAGTACCTGGCGCCACGGTAGCTTCAAGGATACCCTGTACTTAATAATTTATCGCAATTTGTCAATGTTTCAGCCCCACTTGCCAACGATGTTTGTACCACCGAGAAAGAACATCGCTGCCGCTTTTTTTTCTGGACGTTGAGAACAGGAAGCTCTTCACCTCCTCAGAGAACCTATATACCTTCACCATCATCCCCTCCTTATGGACCTTTTCGTTTGCTTTCAGCATATTTCTGGTTGCTCTGGTTTCCGATCGCCATTTATTTTTGATGTGCTTATACATATTCAACACAACCAGACTCTCGTGTCATTTGGAAAAAAATGATCGTGTTCAAAATTTGCACCACTTATTCCCATTCCACTTCATTGAGTAGTGCAATTTATATATTGTAATGAGTATAAGTTTAACGGAATAATAACACGCTCACTATCAATTACATCAGTTTTATGTAGCCAGTTCTACTTTCAGACCACTGCACGCAAGAAAGAGTCGAATTTACGTGTTGGGATTTTTCTTTGATCCAAAAATATATACTTTATGTCGATCGAAGTTCCTAGAAAGTTTCA